CTGGGTTTATTGGATACATAATGTAAAAAAAAAAAAAGAAGAAGATAAAAGCAAATGGGGTTAACGTTTCCACTGGTGAAAGCTTTGTGTTGCAGAATGAGTCTGGATGTCTTTGCAACCCAGAATGAAACAGAGATAAGAGAGTTGAACTCCTGTCACACAGCAGAGGCAAACCACTCCGAGACGAGCAGTCTGTTTCAGCATCACGCCACGAGACGTCCCGTTAAAACCCCCAAACCGTCTCAACAACTCGTTAACTTCACTCCTAACGCGCATTGATGCAACTGTTGAATGAGAGTCCAGACATCTCTGGGCGGGTTCCGCTCACGGGGCCGCCGGAACCTCTGGACGCTTCCGGGACGCGGCTATTCGGGGCCGGTCTGGGACGATCGAGTCCGTTAAAGACCCGAGCCCCCAACGAGAGCCCCCACGGAGAGTCCCGGCGTCCGTCTGTTGTTCACCTGTGGGGCCTCGCCCGGCGCTAGGACCCAGGGTGCGCGATTTTCATCTCCAGCTGCTGCAGACCGAAAACTGGCAATAAGGGAAGATCGCGAGGACAAGCCAAAAATTGCTCACTGAATTCATTCTGCCTCCAAATCGCACCCGTGGCCCCCTCGCCGAAGCCTCCGCGCAGACAACAATAGCTTGTTGCGCCGTGTGCGGGCTCCGGGGCTGTCGACGGGGCTCGGAGCGCAAGGTAAGACGGCGCAATGCCATGCGATCCCTAATAACAAAGGCGTTACGGGCGAGCGGGGGGCATTAAAAGGGGGCATTGCACAACGCGATTGAGGGCGAGTGAAACTCTGCCAAACTTTGACCTGGATCGTCGGCAGGCTCCCGCCGCGCGGCCGGCCGGAGCCGCCGGGGGTGGGGGGTGGAGGGGGGTTTACGGGGTCCGGCTGCTATCCCGCGGCTTTGTACGCGGGATCGTGTCACATGCACGGGCGGCCAAGTTGTGATCGCGGTGACATCCGCGTAAAGCCGGTGCCCGTGCGCGCCCGGGGTCGGGGCTGAAATCCGGAGCCGTAAACGCCATTAACCTGCAGGAGGACATCACTCCTGACGGCTCCTGTGGCCGGCTGCCGCCAGCCTCCTCCTCCGCCGTAGAATAATTCATCACTTGTAACAAGATGGAAGGATTTAGCTCTCGGTTTGCACCCAGACTTCCTTCCTTCCTCCCCCCCCTCCCCTCCCCTCCCCTCCCAGCCTCGACATTACTGACCAGGTGAAGCTCCAACTTCGACGGGACATCCTCGTCGCCGTGCAAGCATGGCGGCCTAAATAGGGTCGATAATCTCCGATATGACTCACAGTCAGATGTCCATGCGTGCCCACTTTGAGGGACGACACACTTACAACAAAAACAAATCCTCGCGGAGAGGAAAGACAGCCAGGCCCTGGAAATAAACAGCCAGCCTTCATCCGCGCTACGGCTGTTGTCACAGTGCATGTGCGGAACGCCACATCCCTGCTCCCGGTCTCCCACAACCCCCGACAAGGGTTTTTTTTTCCCCCCCCCCCCCCCCACCGGTCCAGAGCCGTGCTCCGGCCGGGCTGCCCCGGGTCCCCGCCGGGATGGCTGAGGTCTCCGGGTCGCCCCCCACTCAGACACAATGAGACGTGTCAGCTGCCCACTTTGTGACACTCCGCGTGCGCGCCCCCACGGCGTCCTCCTTTCTGTAGGTCGGCGTTTTTTCTGTTTTTATGTTCCCACCCCC